GAGGCCTCTTGGGCCGTCTTGGACGCGGTGAAAGCCCAAGATGCGAACATGCGAAAAATATACGTTTTCCCATAGGAATGGCACGATTTTTGTTTCTTGGACCTCTCTTGGGGTGCCTCTCGGAACGTCTTGGGCTGATTTTGGAAGCCTTTTGGCGCCTCTGGGCGGCGTTTTGGCGCCTCCTGGGATATGTTGGGCCGGAAGCTCGGAATTCGAGAGTGGCTTTCTCCTTCTGGGACCCCTCTCGAAGTCGTCTTGGGGTTCTCTTGGGCCGTCTTGGGGCCGTCCTGAGCCACTCGTGCGCAGCCTTGGAGCGCTCCCGGAGGCCTCCTAGGCCGTCTTGGAGGCCTCTTGGGCCGTCTTGGACGCGGTGAAAGCCCAAGATGCGAACATGCGAAAAATATACGTTTTCCCATAGGAATGGCACGATTTTTGTTTCTTGGACCTCTCTTGGGGTGCCTCTCGGAACGTCTTGGGGTGCTTTTGGGAGCCTTTTGGCGCCTCTTGGCGGCATTTTGGCGCCTCCTGGAGCCTCTTGGGCCGGAAGCTCGGAATTCGAGGTTGGCTTTCTCCGTCTGGGACCCCTCTCGAACTCGTCTTGGGGCTCTCTTCGGCCGTCTTGGGGCCGTCCTGGGCCACTCGTGCGCAGCCTTGGAGCGCTCCCGGAGGCCTCGTAGACCGTCTTGGGCGCCTCTTGGGCCGTCTTGGACGCGGTGAAAGCCCAAGAGGCGAACATGCGAAAAATATACGTTGTCCCATAGGAATGGCACGATTTTTGCTTCTTGGGCCTCTCTTGGGCTGCCTCTCGGAGCGTCTTGGAGGCTTCTGGGACCTTCTTGGTGTCATGACAGGCGTCTTGGAAGGCATCTGGAGCCATCGGAGCGCGTTCCGAAGCCGCCTGCGAACGATCTTGGACGGCGTCCGGCGGTCCGACGAGCCTCCAGGCCCCCCGGGGCCCACATTTGTGGTCGGGGTCCCGGCCCCGGGTCCCCGGACCCGGTGCGCCGTTATATGTATATATAATATATGTATATACATATGTACAGATTCACAGGCACCATCCGATGAACTTTGCATGTGCCTTCAGGGATGGCGGCGGTGTGGTGTGTAAAGTCGTTGGTCTCTCAGTGGTGATTCATACACCGCCACCCTCCCCTGAGGCGCGCGCTTCGCGAGCGCTCAAGTTCTAGCTAGGCTTGATAGGCTAACTCATGTAATCTCAATTTGGTCGTTTCTTGCGTCCGGGGACTCCCTTGGGGGCCCTGCGCAAGCCGCCTCGGAATCGTATAGAAGGGGAAGTGCGGAAACGCAGAAATCATTAATTCCCTCTGGGTATTCAACGATTTGGGGCCCTCAAAGGCTTCCTGGGTTCTTTTAGGGGAGGTGAGGGGGGTCTGAATTGTGGTCTCTTGTGCAAGAGTAGACCGGGGGCCAAACTTGAAACAAAAGAACATGAATTGTGGGATTCCAATTTTTATCCAGTTCCTCGTCGCCGAACAACGCTGCTTTTTGGTTGTGCCTCACGGGTTTTGTTAGCCGGGTCCCTCAGGGGTGTGGAATCTTCCGGACCCCCTGGAGGTTCTGGAGGCCTCCTGAAGGCCTTGAGAGCCGTCGGGTGTCTCGGGCTGCGCGGGAGCGTGTTGGGCCGTTCTTTAAGTTACCGGCCAGATGTCAAGGGATGTGTAAGACCCCCGAGTAGGAATCCCACTTTGACAAAAAAAAAAAAGGAATTCTGGGAGTTCCCTTTTTTTCAAAATCCTCGATCTTCGAAGTGGGTTGGAAGCGGGAAAACGTGAGAAGGCGAAAAACACCCTCCTCGGGCTCTCTCGGGACGGCTCTCGCAGCTCTCGTGGGCTGTTCTTGGAGCCTCGTCGGGGTCTTGTTGGGGACTGTAAGGAATCGGGGGGGTGTTGGGGGCCTCTGGGGGGTCCTGGAGGCCTCTCGGAGGTCTCTGGAAGCCTCCTGCTCCCGCTCTTGGGCCCATCTTGGGCCTGTTCTGGGGTGGTCTGGGGCTGTCCTGGGACCCTAGTCGGTAGTCTTGGAGCCTTCTTGGCCCGTCTTGGGGCCGTCCTGAGGGTCTCTTGGGTGGCCTTGGGGCAGTCTTGGGAGCCTCTTCGGCGCTCTTGGAGCGTTGGAAGCTCGAAAACGCGAGAAGCCAAAAGCATCAAATCAAACAAATGAGAATCGACGATGTTCCTCTCTTGAGGTCTCTTGGAGGTAAAGGCTGACTTGGACTGCTTGGGAGCGTCTTGGACCATCCTTTCGCATTGTGGGCGCTCCTGGAAGGCGTCTTGGGCCCTCCTGGAGCGCTCTGGAGGCTCCCCGGAACGCCCTGGGGAGTGGAACCGGGAGCGTTCCCCAGATGTGGCAGGGAGGTGTGGCACTCGGGGCAGGGGGGGTATGTATATTATAAATACACGCCATCGGCTGCATATAGAAATACACTTTTATCTATGTATGTATATATATATATATCTACACACGTAGACACATACACACATGTATATATACACAGAGAATGATTGGTAGCTGCATCATATAAACACATGAAAAATCTATATGCTTATATATATATATATATGTATCGTAACTGTCCGCATGCAGCTGACTCGACGAGGGCCAGCGGTAAGAGGGGAAAGAGAAAGGCGCTCGCGACCCTCCATTTCTGAGGGTCAGCCTCGGGAGCCAAGAATGCTCGAGGCGAAACCTATGAACTAATCCTCACCTCGATCCTAGGGGGGACGAGTGAGGGAAGGCAGGGGAGGAGCCAGAGGAGGGCCCAGGAGGAATCCAAAGGCCCCTGAAACACACGCGGGTTGCCGCTCAAAGCTAACGCGCCGACTACGAAGGGTGATACACACCCCGAACAATCTTTACACACCAGCCAATTATACTCACCAGATTTTCTCGGGCATCGGTGTTCGTAATATTTCTCCGACGGACATCCGATTCATCGTAGACGGATCGGACCTGGCAGCGGACGCCGTCCTCTTAGCCCTTCCCCGTGCTACGGAACATCTGTCATTCATCGATTTTTTTTTTTGTTTCTCTCTCTCTCTCTCTCTCTCTATTCCAAAGTTTTGTACCGAGGTTCGCGATCGCGTCTGGCCATACTGCCTTGACGTTACGGGGCTTGTAAGCAAATCTGACCTCGCGTCTCGTGGATCTCCCGCTTTCTGCGGTCTGTCCCACTGGGCGATGTTTACTCAGCGACACGGTACCCCACGGCGAGGCCAAAGTGACCCGATTTTTGCCTGGGAGTTTCAATGGAAGGTGGCACGGGACCAACGGAAACGTCATCGTGATTAGCTGTCTGCCTGGGAAAAATATGCCGGGCATCTGTTCTTCATCATCCACCGCAACAACTTCGGGCCAGGACGCCCGTGTGACGTGCAGGCCGAGTTATATTCCCTCCGAGCGGGTCGTTAATTCCCACCTCCTTCTCGTCTGGTAGAAACTCGACCTTGAACTGTCCCCTCTCGCACCTCCGCTGGGCGCCTCGCGCTTGGGAGGGTCAGGCGTAACGCTCTCGACGACGTCGGGAATCGTTTCACGTTGTCCCTGGGCAGTTGCCAACGACTCGGGCGTGTCAGAGGGCACTGGGACCGAAATTATGCGTGTCATCCTCGCCTCCGTCGGTAGCGTCGGCGACATCGGTGCCATAGGCACCGTGCCCCCGCCGGCTCAGCCTCAGGATCATCGGGATCGTTGATCTCAGCAATGCGTCGTTGATCTCAGCATTACAGGACATCAAGATATCCGTCCCGAATGCCATGACATAGGCTCATATCGGGGTTACGTATCAGGCCGCTCGTTGGCGACAAGTCCCAACCTTCCGCACAAACGATCTTCGCCTCCAGATTGGCACGATTCTTGCTAGGCTCCCCCAGCATAGTTCGGGAGATAGTGGGTACTTCCGACCGCTGATCTGATTGCTGAAGAGACACTATTCCACCACGCGGGGCTTATTCGAGTCCGTGTTTCTTCTTTCCGGGAGCAGTGGACATGTCATATGCTCCCACGCTCTCTTAAAAAGGGTCCTTCTGACGGGGATCCGTCGAAATCCGCACTCTCACAACAGTTACGATAATGTGTCGTGTAACTTATCGCGTCATATTCACAGTATCCATCGTGGTGCCTGCTGGTAGCATGTCTTTCGTCAGATAATCGGCATCCCCTGTCGGTTGAGCATCTTTCCTGTTCCGAATTCCAAACCCAAGGGATCCGCTCATATGGATATTGAAGGTTCTTGGGGAACAAGGCCTCCGGCAGAACTGCAATGTTATGTTCAGTAATTGTGAATGGACAATGATACGCGCGAACTAAGAGAGAGAGCAACGCGCACCCTTTCCGCTAAGACGGCAGCGGCTAAGAAGGCAAACGCGTGCAGTGGCACGCGCACCAAAGGTCAAACGCGAGGCGGAGGGAGTGGAGGAAACGACCGACGAGCAGGAGGCCCCTTGCCTTCGGCGGGAGGCCGTCGCCCTGCGGGCCGCCAGGAGGGAGGAGGAGCACCGAGGCTCCGTACCCCGTCGGGTCCGAAGCCACGTGAATCGAGCGACGGACACACGATTGCTCCTTCCATGGCCCGGCAGGTCTTCCCCTCGTCCCTCCGCCAATCCTTCCTGTTCATCCTCCCTCTCCGCCTTCCCCTCCGCTTCGTCCCAGCCCTTTTCCTTCCCCTTCCTCCCCCCGCTCACGAAGCTCTCCCTTCATCATTCCCCCTCCCCGTCCCTGCCCAAATTCCTCACAACCCTCCTGCCCCGTCTGTTCCGTTGTCCCCCTCCCCACGCTCCCGTCACTCGCCCCCTTCCCCCCGCTCCCGTCACTCGCCCGCATGCTCTTCCTGTCTCGATCCTCCCTCCATGACCCATCCCGATCATCCTCCCTCGTCTTCCTTCTCGTCCTCCTCCAATCCAACACCTGGCACGAACCCATCCCAACCACATCCAGCCTGCCATACGCACATGGGCGTATGCTCGCCCATCCCCTCGGGCTGC